TCCAACCATTCAATATCATTTCTTTTTAAGTGAGAAAGATCAAGCTGGTGAAGGGCCTGCAGCCTCTGGAAGCCCACGAGAAGGAGGCTGTCACCTTCGAGCTGGAGCTGTCTCATGAGGACGTGGAAGGGAGCTGGATGAAGGACGGCCTGAAACTGAAGCCAGGGGACAGGTGCCACATTAACACCCTGGGGAAGAAACATTCACTGACACTTTCATCCCTGAAGGTTGAAGACTCCGGCCTCCTCTCCTTCAAGGCGGAAGGCATCCATTCCTCAGGCAGGCTGCTAGTAACAGGTATCTAGCCCTGCAGTCTGGAACTCCACTTGGGGTGTGTCCCTGCGTGCCGGAGGCTGACTGCCAATGACCCAATTGATCTGGCCAGGGGTTTGATTAGCTGTTAAAGACTGAGGTTTTCAGTGTGTCAGCGTTCTGCAGTTCACACCTCACTTCGGTACTTACTATTGAGATGCACAAGGAAACAGTCCAGAACATGGATATAAATACACCCTTTCCCACACCCCCACTGGGTATTATCTATGATTGCTAGATAATCCTCTCCTTTCCTTTCCTTGACACAGTAATCCCTGAAGCCGTATTCTATTTACGGATTATGTTCTGAGTCTTGTGCTCCTATCAAGCTCAACCCTCCTCTGACTGTATTTTCTTTTTGGCAGAGTTGCCTGTGAAGATCAGCAAGCCTTTGGTAGACATCAAGGCTCCTGAGAAAGACAAAGTGACCTTTGAGTGTGAGCTCTCCAGGCCGAATGTGGAGGTCAAGTGGTTTAAGGTACAGCCCGAAAACATCTTCATTTCTGTATTAGGGCCTGATCCAACTCCCCACGAATTCAGTGGGCGCCGTTCCTTTAACTTGGAGAGGAGATGGATATGGGCTGCCACTATGCAGCTCTGTTTATCCACCATGAATCCAAACTCTCCAATTTTCTTTATGTCTCTCAGCCCACGCAGTCTACCTGTTCTCTGTCTAGAAGGTTTATTTACCAAATCTCTAAGGGCGTTTTCCTGGAGGTGGCCCCCAATTTAAATTTTTCTGAGAGTCACCATCAGTTTGCAGATTCTTGTTGCTTTTGTGTAAAGGCTTGTTGATGACAGTTGGTCTAGTCTCCACCCTCAATTAACCATGAGGCATGTTGTCAGACAGTTACAACTAGGGCTGGCGTCCGTGACTCCTGGGGTCCATTTGCACTCTTGGGCTTCTTGGGTTTCTTGGGTAGTCTTTACCGGGCATCTGTAGATCCCTTTTGAGTTCCAGTTCCTCAAAGTTTTGAGCACATGCGTAAGTCCATCCCCATTTGATGATGCCTTCACACATGTGCTTAACTTCGAACATGTACTTAAATCCCATTGACGTCAGTGAGACATAAGCATGTGTGTAGCATTAATAGGTAGCAAGTTTAAAACAAACAAAAGAGAGTATTTCTTCATGCAACATACAGTCAACCTGTGGAACTCCTTGCCAGAGGATGTTGAGAAGGCCAGGACTTTAACAGGGTTAAAAAAAGAGCTAGATAAATTCATGGAGGTTCAGTCCATCAATGGCTATTAGCCAGGAATGGTGTCTCTAGCCTCTGTCAGAAGCTGGCAATGGGAGAGAGGAGAGCGATGACTTGATTCCCTGTTTTGTTCTTTCCTTTTGGGGGACACCTGGCATTGGCCACTGTCACCAGACAGTACACTGGGCTAGATGGACCTTTGGTCTCACCCAGTATGGTCGTTCTGATGTTCTTATGTATGATCATTGTGCTGAATCCAGACTTGTGTCAAGGGAATCAGAGATGATCCTGTTTTGGTCTTTTCCTTCTAGAATGGAACTGCACTCCGGCCAAGTAAAAAAGTGACCATTATTTCCCAGGAAACTAAGAGAAGCCTCATTATTCACAAGTGTGACTATGACGACCAGGGAACCTACGTATGTGATGCAGCTGATGACAAGAGTTCAGCTACACTCACAGTCCATGGTATGTTTGGTTGGCAGAGGATATGCGCTCTGCTTTGGAGGTGTATTTGGAGATGCTTCCTGGGTGATTTCTCTGCTTCTCGCCTGCTCATAAATTGCCCCCGGCTTAGAATTCTGCCTTGTTCAATTTTCTCTTGAATATGCTAGTATTGGCCTTGCTTTTAGCAGGGGGTCGGACTCAATAACCTCCTGAGGTCTCTTCCAGTCATAGGAAGAGACTTTTGCGAGTAGGTCTCAACTTTTTCTTCCAGGACTCCTGGCAATGTATCCTTTCCCGTATTCTTTTAATCTTTGTTTATTGATTCTATAATAACCCAGACGCTATGACAAATGACAGGCGAAAGACCAAAAACAGCACTGCTGGGTAGGCAGGAATGGTCAAAGGGTTAGAACTTCCTAGCTTCAGTGCGGACTCTACCCGTGATTCCATGGGAGTTCGCCAGAATCAGAAGCGGATCCAGCTAAGTTTCAGGCCTATGGGGGTGGCTCCATGCTTGCGGAAGGGGCGGTGCCTCAGGAGGAAGGGATGGGGCTGGAAGATTAGACTCCCCTGCCAGCTTTTCAGCACTGCCACAGTAGCGACAGCAGCAGCCGGGAGCCCTGGATTCTCAGGGCAGTTGCCCTCTTTGCCCCCCGGCCTCTCGTTAGTGGGCCTGATTGGGATCACAGGATTTGACCCCCTTTAAGCTATAAAGGCTAAGATGGGACAATACAATCTCACGCTTCCCTAGCTTAGCTTACTGCCGTAGTGTCAAAACCAGGCTTTGTCCTCTATGTTCAGCAGTGCACCGATGAGGTTTGGTGGCATTTCTCACCTTCCTCTGAAGTGCTGGGAATTAGCAATGCTGACGGCAGGTTATCAGCCTGCATGGAGCAGTGATTGGGCTCTGGTCGGTCATACTAAAATAGAGCATTCCCGCCCTTTTTTTGTTCTCTATTCCACGCTGCCATCCTGCAGCCACTCAGCTCAAGCTGCAGAAATGCTTTTAGAAATCATCCCATTCCTGCCCCTCAGTACGCTGTGTCTTCCTTCCTGAGTTAATCCTGCAGCCACTCAGCTCAAGCTGCAAAAATGCTTTTAGAAATCGTCCCATTCCTGTCCCTCATTACGCTGTGTCTTCCTTCCTGAGTTTGAGCTTTGTATTGGTTGCTCTTTGGTTCATTGGCGTATAAACTCGGCAGGTTAAAACGTGTGTATTCAGGTAGCGATGTAACCGCTGAAAAATTACATTCAAACCCAGAGCTGGCCCAAGGTATGGGCTGACCGGGCAACCGCCCAGGGTGCCCCACTGTAGAGCGTGCCACACGGGGCTGCTGGGCCATGCAAGATCCGCACGCCCGGGGGGCTACCGCCCGGGGTGCCCCATTGCAGAGGGTGCCACACGGGGCTGCTGGGCCGGGTGGGGGAGGCACACCACGCATGCGCCATGCGCCCGGGGCGGGGCCGCATATGCTCTGGACGCCCAGGGGTAGGATGCGCCACATGCCCCGGGGGTGGGGCCACACTCCTGGAGCCCGGGGCACACAAATGGCTCGGGCCAGCCCTGTGCGGACCAGCTCCACATTTACACACAAACCAGCTCCCCACCATGCTGCTGCCTCTGTATTAGCCAGTTCCCTGTGTGCACTGGTGCCTGCCTCCCCACACCTGGCTGCTGCCTCTGATACAGAAGCAGCAGCCTGGGGGGCGGGGCCTGTGTATAACTGTGAAGGTTAACTGAGGAGCCCAGGTTCACCAGTTAACCGTTTACACGTTTGCACTATCACCTCCCCAATATGAACGCCGAAGTGCACTCCCAGGCAATTCTGAGATTAGCGCAGGGTGTCGGAGGCACTTCCCTTTAGGGGGTGAAAGGCTCCGATAAAACAGGGCTAGATTCTGAGCTGGTGGAAATGGTTGCAACTCCACTCATGTCAGGGGAATAGTGCACATGGTTACAGAAGGAACCAAATTCCACTCTCGCGTAACTCAGAAGTGACGCCATGAGGTTACGGTAACATCTGTGGTAAAACCTGCGTAGCTGACTTCAGAACGAGGCTTTGGGGCTGAATTTGGGCTAAGAGAAGTCACCGTCACTGGAACTTCAAACTGGAAGTTATGTGCTTTTATTGTGGTTGTGGAAAAACAAGCAGGGCTGAGGACAGATGCCTCCAGACTTGAGCTCAGGAGGAAGAGGCCGGGGCCACAGGGGGAAGGGGTGGGGCTGAGGTTAGCCTCCCCCAGTGCTGTTGGGTGGGCATCTCCGGGGCTCTGGCGATGACTTAAAGGAGGGGGGGGCGCGCCCCCCCCGAGCCCTGGGCCCTCTTAAATCGCCTGGTCCCGGCACAACTGCCCCTTTTGCCCCCACAGGCCCCGGTGACAGCCCTAAACACAAGCTGATCCTTGGCTGTGGCCAGGCACAAAGAGGAGGGTGCAAAGACAGAGCTGGTGTGGTGTTTGTGTGCTCCCCCACTGCTGGGCCTGGCTGGGGGTCAGCCCAGTCCCCTGGCATCACTTAGGTTGCTCTTGCCTGCGCTGGCTGCCCTTGGCCCACAGGCACTGTCATGGCAGCTGTAGCCATGGCAGGGGACGCGGGGATTGATACTGGCTGGAGTAGGATCATCCCATCATCTGGCTGTAGCAGGGCCAGGAAGCCAGAGCACAGCCCGGAGCAGGGCCTTTGTATGTAGCAAGCGACTGGTCACGACACCCGGTGGCTTAAGCTAAGTCCCCTCAGCTTGCCCAGCAAATGCTTGGCCAAGCCCTTACCATCAAGGAGGGTGTCTTACAGGCTGACGCTTAGGGTAGTAAGTTTTCCTGGCTGAGGAATATTAGGCTCCCTCTGGAGTATTAATTAGGACAAATTACTTAGAAGAATGTAAAATTTCCTGCTGTGGTTCTGAGGCGGGTGATGGAAACCCACCTATTCCAGTGTCGTTAAGATAATACACTGTGGGGAATTCTCAGGGGCCAGTATGAGTCCAACCTCAGGGCCCAAGTTTATTGCGGCATCAAATTGCACTTAACATATGCACAGTTTTGCCCTAGAAGGTGCCCAGCTGCTCTTACAGTCATTGGTAATGCCATATGCATGCACCAGGGTAAAATGTGCCTGTTAAGCTGTGGACGGATTTGCAGAGGAAGGAGGGAACTGTGGGTTAATACACAATCCATGTTTTTTAAGAAGACCACGAGAAAAGTAAATCATCTTTGTAAAACTATAGAGCAGGGGTGGGCAAATCGTTTTTGGTGGGGGGGCCACTCCAAGGTTTTGGAAAGTGGTCAAGCGCCGCGCTTTTCTGTGCAGGAGGTGCGAGATCTAGGATGGAGGTTGGGTGCAGGAGGGCACACGGGGTAAGGGACTGGGGTGCAGGAGATGGTGTGAGGTCTGAGAGGGAGTTTGGGGGAAGAAAGAGATTGTGACCTGGGATGAGAGGGGTGCAGAGAGTTTGGATGGTGACCTGTGGCAGGGAGTGGGAGTGCAGAAGGGACAGGGGTTCCAGAGGCAGACTGGGAGGCACTTACCTAAGTATCTCCTGGCCAGCAGCCCTGCAGCATTCCCAATGCAGGCTGGGCTCCCTGCCTGTTGCAACCCCAAACTGCTTGAAACTTCAGGCTGCTCCCTCCATGTGGCTCTCAGCTCCGGGAGGGGAAAGAGGCTGGTGTTGCCCCCATCCCCCGCAGCCAATCTCTCAGCTGTTTGTTTCCAACCAATAGGAGCTGAGGATTGGGCTGGGGGCGGGGAGATCACACAAAGTCTCCCCCGCCTGCAGAGCAGAGAGCCACACAGACTGCGGTTTAAACCGTGCGGAGGGTGCCGGCAGGGTGGTCCGCGGGCCAGATCTGGTGGCTTGGCAGGCCAGATCCAGCCCCCAGGCCATATTTTGTCCAGCCCTGCTATAGAGGAACCAAATATAAACATGTCCTTGTGATACCCTAGCCCGAGACATCAAGATAATTAAACCGCTGGAAGATGTGGAAGTGAATGAGAAGGAGAATGCGTCTTTCACCTGTGAGATCTCACACGACGAAGTCCAAACCCAGTGGTTCAAAAACGACAGCAAGCTGAGGGCTGGCGACAACATTAAGATGCGCCAAGAAGGTAGGGTGTAAGAGCCGGGTGTGGGACAGTGCATTGTCAATGGGTATGAGAAGGCAGAGAAAAGTGGATAGAGGGACAGGCAGTGTCGAGCTTTGAGACCAGAGAACTGACTCCTGCCATCGACTTAAGACATTCCAGCTTGTAGAAAGTCCTGCAGGTCTAGTACTATTGTCCACCGCAAGTGGAGTGATGACATGACCCCTCCGTGCAGAAAGATGTGAGCATAGATCACTTGGTTCCGGGGGGAGGGGGAAACGAGCAGTCACCCCATGTTGATTGATTCTGGAAGCTAGCGTGCCTGTCGCTGGGCAAGGGGGCTTTCCATGGTGAGGGAAAAAAGGAGAAATTGTATGGACATGTGGGAGAGACTCCAGATGAGTCCAGCCACCCCCTGAATTAAAGAATTCTAAGTACAGTTCAGTCCAGCTGACACACAGCAGGATGGGGGTTGGCATCTGAGCCCTGGTCTATACTAGCAAATTATTGCAAAATAACTCCCCTTAGGTCAAATTTATAAGCAGAGCGTCCTCACAACCAAGCCCGTTATTTCGAAATCTGTACTCTTGCTTTCCTAGAGTAATAACGCTTATTTTGAAATAGCAGTTGTGTGGACGCTCCGGTGCTGCTATTTCAAAATAATAACTCCCCAGAGTAATTCGAAGTAATTACTCCCCAGTGCTTCTTAGGGCTTTAAGTTGAGGTAGCACGTCTACAATAACGGAGCCTGCCTCGGACTAATTTCGAGGCTCCGCCATAGTGAGGACACACTAGCTCGACTTTGTTTTTTCAGGAGTTATTATTTTGACTTTAGATATTTTGAAATAATTTCCTAATGTAGACATGCCCTGAGTGTGTGATAATGGACCTTTGTCTGCCTCGCCATATTCCAAATGGAAATTCCGCACGGGGGAGCCAGGACAGCTTTTGTACAGGGAGTCAACTTTCCTTTTCTGATCAGTCGAGGAATGTGCACTCTGTATGACTCGGGGTCAGTGTCACCACTGTCAAAAGTGCCCATCAGTCTGTTACAGCTAACGGTATAGCCTCAGCACGTCGCCTCGGATGATGAAACCAGCTTCTCACCGCAGGTGTGTTTTTCTTTGCAGGAAGGACCTATGCATTAGTTTACAAAAGTGTCCATGTGGAGGATGCTGCTGAGATCAAATTTGTAGCAGAGAAGGCAGAATCCCGAGCACAACTTAGAGTGAAAGGTAATTCTAACAGTAATGATGGCGTTGCTAAACCTGGTAAATTAGCCATCTCCCATTGCCTTCAATGCAACCAGGGTGGAGCTGACACCGAGCACTGTTGAAAATCCCAGTCTAGTTACACTGAAATGAAAAGGGAAGAAAAACCCAACCCCTCCCCTGCAACCCCCAGCCTGCGTTTCCCTGTATAAAGTTATCAGTCTCCTTGATGGGTATTTACCATTTCTCAGTAACATACAAGTTTCCCTCTCAGTACAGACCATTTCTGATTTCCCCTTTTAAGATGAAAAGGGTTCATATTTTGGGGGAAAGGCAATCTTTTCCGTTCAGATGGCTCCCCCATTTCTGCCTTGTGAGCCTCGTCTCTTGCTGCTTTACCCTTAAGTTTTGTGACAAAGTCAGGGTGGGCAGCCGCAAGAGGGTGGGGACAGGCAAGGGATGCTAACCCTAGAATGATAAAATCCCTTCTCACGATGAGCTAAGAAGAGGTTACCTCAGGTCTAATAGCAACACCTGAGTCTGAATAAGGGCTGTCTGAGGCCTTTAAAAACCCTTCTTCTGGTGAGAGGAATTGGAGGAGAGACAAGGGGTTGCAAGCTAGTGGTAGCAGGGAAATTCGCCTCTCCTCCCTGAAAGGGAAAACCCAAAACTGAACGCCTGCAGACTGACTCTCTGGACCAACAGTAGGACAACACCCCCTTGCCCTCCACCCCTACAGCAGGAGGGGAAGGGAAAAGCTATTCCTCTTAATTTTGTGGATGTACTGTGACAGACCCAGGGCAGTTGGCTATAGTAGCCTGGTGGAAGGCAAGTATACAGGGAACTGGGTGAATAGTTTTCTGTTCCCTGAGTGAACTGGCCAGGCATGGCTATCACCTAATCAAGGCAGGGAGGCACCTGCAGGTAAGTAAGGCCTGCTGGGGCCAGTTTAAAAGACTTCCCCTCAGGAAGGGTAAAGGGAAGGCCAAGGACTGAGAGGGAGGAGATGCACTGAGAGGGGGAAGGACTGGGAGTGTGGCAGAGGGCTGTGGAGGAGCAGGAAGGATTGCTCCAGTACTAGGGAGAAGGTACTGGGAGGGATCGTTTGGGGAAGTGACCCAGGGAAAGGCTGGAAGACTGGAAATGGCGGAAACACTGCCAGTTGCCCCTGCCTTCGGGTCCCTAGGCTGGAACCTGGAATTAGTAGGTGGGCCTGGGTTCCCCCCAGCCCTCCTCACTACACTACAGTCTGATCCTATAGAGGGGTTTCACCTCAAACTAGGGACTAGCCTATGCTGAGGATAGCTCAGTAGGCTGTGACCCTGGCCTTTAGTAAAGGGCCGGAGGCTGTGTGGATGGACACAGCGAGCCTGCGAGGCAAACACTAACCGCCAGGAAGCACAGAACCTTTGGGGCACGGCCAGAGCTTTGCCACAGTACGTTGGCTTCTTTTTGTTTGGTGGAGGAGGACTGCTTGGGCTGCCTTGAAAATACTGACAAGTAAATGCAGAGGGGGAAAACACACACGCTGTCCAGAGTGGGGTTGATTTACCGAGGGAAGTGCAGAGTACAGTGAGAGGCAGTGCTGAGTACGGTGAGAGGCAGGAGGTCCCCTGCTACAGTTCTACAGAGAATTTTGTTTGTGAAAAAGGCAAGCCCTAAAGGATAGAGGAAAGGTGGCCTGGTAGTTAATGCACTGTGCCTGGACTCAGGAAATCTGGATTAATTTCTCACCTTTGCCAGAGGCTCCCTGCATACCCTTGGGGCAAGGTATTTAGCCTCTGTACTTCCATTCTCCATCTGTAAAATGGGTATATTAACACTTCCTTCCTCTCATTCTTTTTCTATGGTGGGTGCAATGGGTCCCTAATCATCCAAATAATTCTTGATGAAAATAGAGGTGTTACTAACGAGCTTCATCCGACACCAGACAGTCCAGCCACATGGTTTGTATTTTCTTCATCCTCAGAACTTCCTGTAAAAATTGTGAAGCCACTGCGGGATAAGATTGCTATTGAGAAGCACCGGGGCGTCCTGGAATGCCAGGTGTCCCGCCCTAGTGCCAAAGTTAAATGGTACAAGGAGAATGTTGAGATTCTTCCCAGCCAGAAATATGAGCTGGTGAGTGACGATGTCTATAGGAAACTCATCATCAACGACGCCGAGTTTCAGGATGAGGGCCTGTATACCTGTGATGCTATTGACAACACAAGCAGTGCTCATTTCTATGTTGAAGGTACTGGGTCGTTTTCTTCCATACTGATGGGAGGGGGAGTGGATAGGTCCAGACATTATTTGGAATTTAGCCTACCACTGTAACTTTTAAAAATATTATCAGATGCTAATTATCTCTGCAGCCCATTGGTGTTGCTTTCCCCTAGGATTTTGGGGGCTGGAGGAATGTGAGCTACAGTAAGCCCTAGTCTACAGTAGGGCGCTATTTTGAAATAACCCCCCATTGGTCAAATTTATAAGCAGAGCGCCCACGCTACCAAACCCACTGTTTTGAAATAATGGGCTGTTTATTTGGAAATCTGTATTCCTTGGGGAATAATGCTAATTCCAAAATAGCTATTCTGAAATAACGTTAGTGTGGACGCTCTGATGCCACTAGTTTGAAATAACGCCTCCCTAAAGTCATTTGAACTAATTTCTCCCCAGTGCTTCTTGGGGCTGTACGTCGCGGTAGCGCATCCACATGAACGAAGCCTGCCTTGGACTGATTTCGAGGCTTTCCCGTAGTGCGGACATGCTATTTCAGTTCTCTAAAATCGGGAGTTAGCCTTGGACTGATTTCGAGGCTTTCCCGAAGTGCGGACATGCTATTTCAGTTCTGTAAAATCGGGAGTTAATGTCAAATTTCGTTATTTCTAAATAATTTTCTAGTGTAGACGTGCCCCTAAGAGTGGAGAAAATCAAATTTCGTTATTTCTAAATAATTTTCTAGTGTAGACATGCCCCTAAGAGTGGAGAAAACCTATCTTAGGGACTATTTTTGTTTTTGCTGTGGGATTTTGAGTAGATGCCTGACGTGTTTCCCATCACTGATGTCTTTAATTCTGTGAGCCTACTATTTTGATTTATGATTCTGATAACAGATCAGAAAGATTGGGTCTTATGGTTAAGAAATAGGAGGGCACATCAGGGGACCTTGATTCTCTTCTGGCCTTTGTTACAGGTTCACTGACTATTCAAAAGTCATGTTTTCCAATACAGTAATTCCTCATTTAACACTATAGATGTGTTTCTGAAAATGTTCGTGCTAAGCAAAAGCTTGCTATGCGGGGTCAATTTTCCCATTAAAAATCATGGAAAAGGTGGGGGTGGCAAAGTCAATTTTTTGTTGGTGCTGGGTCATCAACGTGAACATTAGATATCTAGCAACACAAGATAACTAGCAACACAAGTCGCCGCAGCTTGTTAAAACACAAAGACAAATATGTGAGTGAGCAGAGGAGTGCTGTGACCACATGTATTCATCCGCTCATGCATATTACCACTGTTTTCATCAACTTATACATCGCTCATGCATATTACCACTGTTTTCACCAATTTATACAGCCACGCCACTTGATTCTTTTCATGTTATTTCAGGGATGGTCATGTTATTCGAAAAACATTCCCTAAAAGAAAATTGTGCTATTGTGAAAATGTGTTAAGTGGGCACATGTTAAACGAGTAATTACTGTATATAAAAAGGAACCAGATTCCCTAAAAGAAAATTGTGCTATTGTGAAAACGTGTTAAGTGGGCACATGTTAAACGGATAATTACTGTATATAAAAAGGAACCAATAACATTTAGTTAACTGACAAGAGTTGTATGAGGCTTAATTCACAAATGTGTGTTTCTTTCTTGAGCATTCTGTACACAAAGTTTTATAATTATTATGAAAAAGTTGATTCCTAAATGCATGGTCTAACACGTTCCTCTTCTCGCTTTGCACCCTCCTCCCAGAGCAATCCATTAATATTGTAAAGGCGCTAAATGATGTGGATGTGACAGAGCCCACAGAAGCCAGGTTTGAATGTGAGATCTCCATTCCATCGGTGAAACCCCCCAAATGGACTCTGGGTGGAGAGGTCTTACAGACTGGCAGAAATGTTACCGTAGAGCAAGAGGGCACCGTTCATCGGCTCATTCTGTGGAAGACCAACTCTGACATGACTGGCACCATTCAGTTTGCAATTGGCAAATCAAAATCCACAGCAAACCTGCTTGTACGAGGTAAATTGATGCACCTTGATTGTGAGAATAAATTAGATCAGTGTTTCTCAAACTGTGCTCCGCAGAGCCCTAGGGCTCTGCGAGACATCTCAAGGCTCAGCCAGGCTGACAAACTGGAAACATCGATAAGTACAACACATACAATCAGTGGACCGCTGGGGCTCCGCATAAATTTTTACGCATGTAAAGGGCTCCGGAGTCCAAAAAGTTTGAGAACCGCTGAATTAGAGCCTGGCTCCAGCTCCTTCAAACCCTTCTTCCACTCACCCAGAAATAACTTCTGTCAAACTTGCAACTCTTCTCATGTTTAGTTTCCATCGCTGAAAGTCTTTGAACTGAGATGTGTGTAGTTCATCCACAAGTCAGTAGGTTTCACGCAGGGATCACTAAATGAAATTGTATTGTCTGTGTTATCCAGGAGATCAGATTAAATGATCACAAGGGAAACTCTAGCCTTAAAATCTATGAATTTAAAACGAGGAGTTACAGTAAGATCCCATAAGAACATAAAAGCTGCCGTACGATTCGTACCATAGGCCACTGTCTCCTACAGAACTTCAAGGGCATTGTACAGAACAGAGTCACTGTAGAGTGAGCAACCCCTGTCTTCCACACTCAGCTTCTTGTAATCAGATATTTAAATTAAATTAAATTAATTAAATTTATTTAATTTAATTTAAATTTAGGGTTCCCCCAGACATGGAGTTGCATTCCAAACCACATAGGCTAATAGCCATTGATGGACATATACTCCATGAACTCATCCAGTTTTTTAAGCCAGTTATACTTTTGGCTTTCACAACATCCCTTGGCAATGAGTTCCATAGGTTGACTGCATGAAGAATTAAAAACAAACAAAAGGAAGCATATCTTCCCACAGTGCACGGTCAACCTGTGGAACTCCTTGCCAGAGGATATTGTGAAGAGTGGTCCTTGTATTAACTGAAGTTGATTACAGATAAAATTCCATCTTTTTTTTTTAGTTTGTTCTTATCTGTTCCTCCTTTCATGCCCCTCTTTTACAACCTGTGGTACCTGTGGAACTCCTTGCCCGAGGATGTTGTAAAGACCAGGGCTTTAAAAGGGTTCAAAAAAGAACTAAATAAATTCATGGAGGATCGGTCCATCAATGGCCATTAGCCAGGATGGGCGGGGATAGTGTCCCTCACCTGTTTGCCAGAAGCTAGAAATGGGCCATTTGATAATTCCCTGTTCTGTTCATTCCCTCTGGTTGAGAAAAAGCTCCAAGTTGTTGAACATAATCTTTCTATATGCTAAATACCCTTGGGCTAAATCCTAAAGTGCCCACTCAGCTCTTCTTGAGACAAAATCCCCGGGAAGCATTTTGCTGAGGAATAAACAACCCATCAAAGCTTTCAAGGTTTGGCCCTGCACATGGCGATAAGTATACAACAATGCTTTTGGGAATCATAGAATCCACAGTTCCCTGTGGACATGATGCCACTCTTTGTATCTTCAAGGTTGCCTCTTAGCAAATCAGACCTCCATCAGAAATTCAGAGTGGTCCTTGTATTAACTGAATTTGATTACAGATAAAATTCAATTTTTTTTTAGTTTGTTCTTACTTGTTCCTCCTTTCCCATCCCTCTTTTACAGATATGAATGTGCAGATTACCAGAAAGCTGGAGGATAAGACTGCCTTAGAACACCACTCAGTTGTCCTGTCCTGTGATTTTAAGCCTTCTCCAAAAGTTGTAGAATGGTTCAAGGGCCATACCCTCATTGAGCCCTCAGAAAAATACAAACTCAAGTGGGAGATGCACACAGCTGAACTCAAAATTCTGAAGCTAACACCCATATGAATGTGCAGATTACCAGAAAGCTGGAGGATAAGACTGCCTTAGAACACCACTCAGTTGTCCTGTCCTGTGATTTTAAGCCTTCTCCAAAAGTTGTAGAATGGTTCAAGGGCCATACCCTCATTGAGCCCTCAGAAAAATACAAACTCAAGTGGGAGATGCACACAGCTGAACTCAAAATTCTGAAGCTAACACCCGAAGATT